TATATATCCATGACTTTGGATAACGTACAAAAATAAAAAAAAATTGAACACAAAAATAGCATGTTTTTAACTACGGCAATCAATTGCACTATCGCGAATCTAAATAGTGCGGCCACATAATTTATATATATATAAGGTAACACAATCAAGAATGATAGTTATGTGCAAGTTAGGATATATATTTATATTTGTCACATTTGTTCGAATACATTGGCCGTTTTATCAACAGAAGAACAAAAATTAAAAAATGAGATTGGCCTGATAATCACAATTTCGACAAAACGTGACATTGGCCCTTCTTGCACCAAGCCACAGATATATAAGTTAATACGAATAGCTCGATGGGCAAAATAACACTTATTACGCAGTTTACCATCACGAAGTTTGTATATATATTAATCGCCAGAAAACGAAAGTAAAAACAAACAGAAAAACCACCGAAACTGAACGGAACAACCAGTTAAAGTGTACGTCGAAAACGGAATAGAGCGCAGAATAGAGTAATCCATATTCGGCAGCGGCCTTGTCACGGTGTCAAGGGCAAGGAGACACACGATGACAACCGATTGTCATATTAATAGCTGGACGGATGATATCGAGAGGGAAACGGGTGCGAGTGCCAGCCTAGAGCGTAAGGAGGTGTTGTGTCAGCACATAGAAGACATGTCGACCGGACAATTTTTTTTTTAACTTACACGTAACAACATAAGCTTTAATTAAAAATAATTTTTTTTTTATCAACTTATTACGCTGATTTCAAATCTGCAATTTTTTTTTCTATCACCACTAATTTTTTATATATAATAGAACAAGGAAAAAAACGCTTTTCTGGGAAAATTACTTAGCGTGCTCGGATTTTCAAAATTGTTTTTTTCGACGAAAGTACTCGGTCACCAAACTCCGGGAAAATTATTGGCGAAGGTCGGAAAATTTTTGCCGCTCGCGAGCGAGCGTTTTAAAATTTCGACCGTTTTCGAGAAAAACGCTCGCTGACGCCAGCGTTTTACGACTTAAGGTTTGAAATTTTCATTAGACCCGCCCAATGACATTCCTGAGATGTGATAAAAAAATCAATTCAATCCGTTCATTTTTCATCGTTTTACGAGCTTTTTTTTTTAAGTCCACGCGCGTGGTTGTATTATGCGCAGTAATTCATTTCTGCTGATACGTATTATGAACCTTATTTAATGGTGTATTATGTGTATTATTATTAGGACACTATTTTGCATTTGCCCTATTTTTATCAAGGAATGTTATATGTTATATATAAATTTCATGACGTTATAATTATTTAAGTTTGTGCTTTCATTATAAGAACATTACTAAGTACAGAGTTAATAATTTTCTTTTATTTCATATATGATGTATGAGACTATGAGTTTATCTTTTGAATTGGGGTTCATCTATGATAACTATGATGTTCATCGTTAAATCGCAGTTACCAAAGTCCTAAAAATAGGCCTAAAGGGAATACCTCATTAAGAGGCTTCAACCTTATACCCAATACATTTTACTATATTTTCTTTTTGAATTTTCCTGATTTTAATAATAACATTTTTAGATATAGTTTTCTATAGTTTTCACTGATTCTGAAGTAATATTTTTTCTGAAAAACACTTATCGTGCCCGGCGTAGCCGGGTACTTCTACCGGAATCAGTGGCCTACTTATGATGACGGCCCGAANTCTACCGGAATCAGTGGCCTACTTATGACGACGGCCCGAATTTTTTATATTATAACTAATTAAAAACTAGTATTTAAATATAAAAAAATAACCAAAAATATATAGTTTAAAATTAAATTCAACAACACAATATCGAACGAAATCATAGGTAAAACTAGCCACAAAATATTTTTGAATATCAATATATTAAAAAATGCTATAGGATATAATTATACGGAATATAGTATTGAATATAGTATGTTAAAATATAATTACTAAACGATATTTTTTTTTATGTATAGATCAGCAAAATTGCTATAATAGAAGTTGTTAAAAATATGATGACATTAAACCTGTGTAAATTATAAGTGAACAATTTAAAACTTTTAAAATATCCCATGACACTAGCCGAAATATTTAAAGTTTTGGTGTTTTAAACGTAACAAACTTTCAACAAACAATAAAAAAATACATTACACTAAAATTATTACCTTTTCATATTTCAAAGAATATAAAAAAAAAGAAACTTAATAGTTAGCACACACAATAAATCAATTTATTTATTTGAATTAAACATAAAGTATTTACAATAATTTAAGTTAATAATCATAATATAGATGTATGAAAACTTCGCTAATATTTTATGTTATGAAAAATGTTTATAGCCATACATTATTAACCGAAAAAATGTATTTAACATGATATTAAAATTGCCATTCGTTAGAATTAAATGTCAATATATTGTACTTGGTATATCAAAACTATTTTTTTAGAAAATAATATTATTTTACAAACAAAGAGAACTTAAAAATAATAATCAAATTTTAATTTAAAAATTAAATTCACACAAAAGAAATAGTGAAATTTGACACAAATGAGTAATTTGAGCAATAAAATATCATGTAAATATGGCAAACAATGGCACTTGATTATTTAGTGAAACCACATTGAATAATGTTAACAATTTTAAATTTCAATTATAAATAGGTAATGTAAAATAATGTAAAAGGAGAACTATTAATGTTTTTTACATTAATAATATTAAAAAGGTTTTGAGTTTTTGTTTTACACAAATAAGAAATTAAAAGGTTACTCATAATTTAATTGAATTCTTATAGTTAAGAGTGTAATTAATTATGGTAGTTATAACTAGAGAACCCAATAATTTAGCACCAAGATTATGAAAGTAAGTACAATTAAAGATATAATAACAATAACAATCCACATTTAAGACAAAAAATATATATACTTTTAACAAAATAACAATTAAAGAAACAACGGGCTCTTAACCACTAATCATTTAGGTTAATTTAATATAATACTTGGTAGATATTTTCCTTGAAAATCGTAGGAAACTTATTTAGTTGTGTTATTTAATAATTTTTCAGATACAGAAATAAAGTTAGAAAATAAGAGCAATTAAAAAAGATTAGATATTCGTAAGAATTTTTAAAACTAAAATTTAAGTATTACCATAAAATGAAAAAAAAATTATAACTAGCACATAATAATTTTTTTCAAAACTTTTTATAGTCTTATATTTTAATTAATCTAAACTCACTTTAAATTACTCATGAAATAAAGGTATTCTAATGTTGTAGAGGAAACACTTATAATACTTGTCTAATAAAGGATAAATATTTTAGCTTAATACTGTTTAAAACAGTATACAAAAATTATTTATTATATAATGAAAACTATGGATAAATATTTCACAATTGAGTTCAATGTCATTTTTCTAATAATATTTGATGCCCAACAAATTTAATAAGTATATCTATTAAATTCATTTAAAAAGAGACATACATTTTTTTATGTTAATTGAATAATAGTTATTTAGAAGTAATCAGAGAAATAATAAACTCAAGCATTAACAAATATTATTTTCAATCAACAATTAAATATAAATTTTAAAAATAAAAATGTGGGTTAAAAATTATAATATGGAACAAAAGAAATTGTTAGAACAATTTGTTTTTAGTTTCTAAAAAAATTTGATTCAAATATTTATAAAATAATATATAAATATTTGAGTTAAAATATTTTAACTATAATTAAAGTGAATTGAGTTTCTCTTAGGATAAAATAAAAATTAGTTTAGGAATATATCACAGTAAAAAACAATAATTTTTTAAAAGCAAAATATTCGAATTACTCATACACATTGACTATACACTATATGAACATAAAATGAAAATATTTAACTTTTTGAAACGATTTCTTTGATTTCCAAAAAAATACTGGTAAATGTTTATGAAATCGAATTTGAATTAATAACTGGAATATGCACCATAATATTTAATTTATGTATACTCAAATTTATTGTTTAATTCCTCAAATATTTTTTTCTTTATGGTTAAATAATATATAAAAAGATGTAATTCTATTATAAATTTATTATTGACCATAAAATTTTGCTATATAGTCAATTTATTGAACAGTATGATTACACTGTAACAACCGGACTATTGAAGGATCACTTTTTGCCCCTTCAATGAATTCTTCTAAAGATAGACGACCATCATTATTCTTATCCATCTGTCTAAATATCTTATCAGTTCTTTTTTCGGGTGTAGACTCATCTTCAGGCATTTTCATCACAGTACCTACCATTTTGTAAATGGCCTGAAATCATCAATGAGAATAAAATAATAATCATCAGTTCAAAATTTTATAGATTTATATTAATTACTGTAACAATTTCCAACATTTCTTGGCGTGATATGTATCCATTACCATCCAAGTCATACATACTAAACGCCCATTTTAGTTTTTGCTCTAGTTTCCCTCTAGATGTTACTGATAAAGCACAAAGGAATTCCCTGAAGTCAATTGTACCATCACTATTGGCATCAAATGTTCGGAATACATGTTCTGCAAACTGTACACAAAATGTATTATTTCTTTTGATTTGACATAATATGTAGTTATAAACATACCTTTGATGCATCACCATATGGAAAAAAGTTTCCATAAATTTTTTTGAACTCTTCAACACTAAGATGCCCACCAGGACAATCTTTCAAGAATCCTTTATACCATTCTTGAATCTCAGAATCTATTAACACAGACATAATTATATTTTAAAAACAAAATAATTTATTGGACATAGTTTCAATATCAAATCCAGTACATTTTTCTATCTCTTTGATGAAGTTAGAAACTTTATATAGAAAAGGAAAAGGTGGTAATGGTAAGATAATCACAATTCTAGTCCTTCTAAGATTTTTTACCTATAATAGATGAAAAAAAGTACTGATTCCACTAGTATATAAAATATGTTACCTGAAAATTCTGTATTTTGTCTGAGATCTTCTAATACTTCAGGTTTCAATTTGCTATTCTGTTTACCCATTTTCTTTTCAAATCAAGAAGTAGAAATGAAAAAAAATCAAGCTTTTATCTTCATATTCTACTTAACATAAACATTTGTGTTAAATATAAATTTAAAAATCCTTTATTAATAAGTAATAAAAGTTAATAGTAACCCATGTCAACTGATTTTATATAACATCTTACCAAATTATGAGAAACGAAATAGTAGTGCAGAGAGAAAGAGAGATACTAATAAATTATTCATTAATAAATAGATTTTACAAAAAAGGAATAAATAAAAACACATTATTTTAAGATATCAGAATTTTTTTAAGTTTTTGATTTATCTGTTAACAATACACAGCGCTCAGAGCAAAAAGAAATATAAATATTTTCTAGTCTTAAAAACTACATACTCTTAAACTACTTAATATAACCTTAGCTTAGCCTAGTTATAACAGAAAAAATTAAAATACATACTTATCAGTATTTTAGCTATAAGAGTATGTGCAAACAAATTTGAATAAGAAATTAATAAAATATTTTGTATAATGTTGGTCTTTTTTGTGAAATACTAATATTAAATGTTTGTTTCATTATTCATATCAATATTTCAATAAGTAATAATTTTTTATTTACTTTCATCCACATAACATTCATGAATAAAAATGATTAAAAATGAGAAATAAATTTAAAGATCGTTAAAAATAAAAACATAAATAAAATTTAGATTATATTATAATATTTTAAATATGATTTTAAAGCTACAATTAGTATATTATAAAAAAATATGATACAAATTGGTGTATAGAAAAACTCTTGATTAAAATTAAAGTTTTTTTGATTTGGCTAGTTATAATTCAAAAAAAAGCTCTTGTGTACAATGAAAAATACTTTAGTAATAGTCGAATAAAGAGAATTATATTAATGTATATTCTTTTGTTTACGTGTACACAAGTTTATTCAAATTTTAGTAGATATATAATATTAATATTTCTTATATCAGAATTAAAATTATATAAAATAAATCTGTCAATATTAAATATTGAAATTATAAAAAGAAAAAGAAATGTGGAAGAAGAGGAAAAGTGCTATGATTACTTTACTTGATCAAATTACACAATTTTCATAACAATAAATTACAAAAATATATGCAACTAATAAACTATCAAAAAATCCAGTTTAATTAGGATATGAAGTAAAAAGTATGTTCCATACTATAACAATTTTATTATTATATATACTTTAAAAACTACATGTTAAAAAACATAATATTAAGTGTCAAATAAATAATTAGAAACAGTACACAGTATATAAATAGAAGTATTAACATTACAATAAACACAAATAGTTAACTATAGTATTGTGTTTTTTGTGCTTTTATTTGAAATCTTTGGTAATAGAAATGTTGGTTGAATTTATTGCTAATGGAATCTAACAATAAGTGCCATCAATAGAAACAGAATTTAAATACAATACATCAAATTTATAAGGTAAAAAATGTTTTAACTAATTTATGCGATAAATAACTATACAAATATATTGGTCCAAGAAAATGCATCTTAAAATTAAAAGCTAACAAATAATTTAGCCAAAGGTATGCACGTCAATTATTTTATTTATAAAACGTCATACAACTTAAAGGCAGAATAATAAGACTTTGTCACATTAAAATTGGCCTATTCCATTTGACCTTACAATTGCATTATTTGAAAGTATTTCATTTATTGAGATGTTTACTAAACGCGTTTATAAACTATTTCTAAAAATAACTTTTGTAAATAAATTTTGGTGTTTTACTCATAACCAATAATTTTTAGAGATCACGGAAAGAGTTTTCTCTGATAAAGTCTCAAATTGAATTTTGTAATGTTAAACGGATTTCGAAAGATTTTTTTCATTTTATAACGACTACATAAGTTATTTCAACTTAAAAATTTTTGTTTTGAGCTTAACTATCGATTACAACTTGAAACAACCATAGTGGGAAGGCGCGAAAAGATCAGCAATAATTGATTCATAGAAATTATAGGTTTTTATTGTATGAATATTTTATAAAAAAAATAGTTCAATGGGAATGTGCTGAGTATATAAACATTATATGTACACAAAAAAAAATACCAGACAAAAAGTGGAAGTCGACTGTAGTTTTCGGGAAATTATGGAAAATATCATACCGAGGTTATGATGTGTGTTTTTAACTACTGCTTTGCAAATCGACCCGAGAAAAGGGGCGGGTAACCCCGGTCGTCAGCGGAGAGAGATGCATTGTCGTGTACCACCTGGTAACCTGCGCATTAAAATAGTACACACATGGATAAAAGTACCATGGACATATTATTACACCCCATAATAAGAACGAATCGTTATAATATAGCACAAGAAAACAATTCAATTTAAAATTAAGGTTGCTTATTAATATTCAGCGGACTTTCAGAATTGTAGAAAAATTAGTTGGCTTAATAGTATATTCTTATTTACTTTCTTTTTTTTTTTTTTTTGGCACCATCAAAGGCGTACCCTACGGGGACGAGAAAAAGATATATAAAAAAACGTGACAAAATATGAGTTCTTTTTAAGGCTCTCACGCCAGCTGAGGCAGAGGTTATGGTGCGAGCATTTTAGATAGTTCTTCGTCTTGCAGGCAGCCTTTGAGGAATTCGTCTTGGGTAAGCTGACCGTCGTTGTTTTCGTCCATTTTAGCGAATATATTTTTCGCCCTGTCTTCAGCAGAATCGGCTGGGCGATTAGACGAACACGCTCCCAACATGTCGTAAATAGCCTAGAACAATGCGCAGTATCACGGCTTATTTAAAAATCGATTATAACGTTTAAGATATTCAGTTTTACCAAAAAAGTCATTATTTTCAACAATTTTTTGAAAAATGTTAATTTTACAAATCTCAATATAATAAATCAATAATTAGGAAATATTAAATTTCCCATACAAAGGTTTAACAATTGAAATATTTCGAAGACTTTTGATAATAAGGATTCATCGAGGATCAATAAGGACGATAACACAAAAGAAATATTATGAGTTTTAAAGAAGGCGATTCGAAGTAATCGTTGTTTTAATTGTAATGACTAAATGAACGTTTAGACGTGGATTAAAGCTGGATGACTAAATTTTCATACTCGGTGAAGGTAAGCGGAAAGTTTTAATTGTTTAAGTTGCTCAGCTTAATTTAAGACATTCTCAATTTTGACTACGCCTCTGGTTATAACCGTAATTATTGTTAATTCTTACCTGAACGATTTTAGTCATTTCTTGAATGTCAATAACGCCGTTACCGTCTACGTCATACATCCTGAACGCCCATTTTAATTTTTCTTCTGGCGTGCCGGACGACGTAACGTCAATGGCTAATAGGAATTCCTAAAACAAGTTGAAATTTTTAGTAAGTAATACATGACAAAGGGTCCTCCTATGTGTTTGTATTATTATGATAATGATAAAATTTGATATTTTACTATGATACTATTAGAAAATTAAGATGGAGTGAAGTTCAATGCATGACATTTAGGGCGTAATAGGCGTAACATATGCAAAAGTCAATTGCCTCGTTCCGGAACGCAAATTTCTAGATATATTTTTAAACAATTAGAAGTCTTTATTGTATAAAAATGCTAAATTATATTTAGCTTTTCAGTGTTTTAATGTTTCTATAGGTATTAAACGTCCAGTAAAAGATAAGAAAATCGATTAAGATTCAAGAGCTTTGGTAATAAAGTAAATAAATTTGATCAAGTGGATAGAGCTTGTAAAATTTTTAACAAGATTTATAAATAGTACTTTTTGAGAACCTCCGTCACAAAATTATAATCAAGTTCGAAGTAGGCGTTTTAAAACAATTCTATTCGACCATTACATAAAAATTTTGAACGAGTAAATAATTATAGATACACACTTTGAAGTCTATATATCCGTTTTTGTCCATATCAAATGTTCGGAACACATNTATCCGTTTTTGTCCATATCAAATGTTCGGAACACATGGTCACAAAACTCTTCGGCGTTGCCGCTGGGAAAGAACATTTTATACATGTCAACAAATTTGGCCGGTGTCAGGCGACCATTTGGACAATCTTGCTGCAAACAAAGAAAAAAACATGAATACAAATTGAATATTTCTAAAAATGAAAAACTATTTACGAATATTTGATTTCAATTCATATTTTATAATATTTTAATAGAAATATTAATTCTACAACAACTTTTCCGTTTTCTGTAGAATATCATTAAGATAGTTTTCGCGCTTTTCATGATGTTCGACATTGTAATTTGATTACTCGTCATTTTAATACCACCGTACCATAAATTCCACCTACAGTCAATACAATGATAACTGCTTTTCATATTTAAATCCTATCGGTTGCTTTTTGAAAGAGGCGAATCGTAGTGATGAATTACTTCAACTCGTTTTTTTGAACATCAAAACGTTAACGCGGCCGACAGAAATTGGCAACCGGTCATCGTAAGTGTACCGGAAATCGTATGAAAAGAGGAGGTGCGGTTGGGGATTAAAACCCGCGTTTCAAGGCGTCGTAGAGACAAACCTTACCACTAGGCCATTGTGCACTTCAATTACCAAATGAATTGATAACGTGACGTGCGGCTGAGGGAAACACTGCACTGTGTCAATGTCTAACATTGAAATCAAACAATGATAAATTTTACAAACATAGTTGATACACTTTTAAGTTACATAAGATAAATATTTTTTGCAAATATTGATCCCAATTCGATAGTAAATGAAAATAATGTATAAATAAATTTTGCGTGGTTTTGAAATTTGAAGCTTAGTTAATGTTTTATTTGTCAGCTATAAAACAATCATATAGTATTTTACACATTGTTGTGCAAATACTAATAAAAAACTGTTTTTTGATTTGTAATAAGTATTGAATTGAATTGAATTAATTAAAAATATTTTAATACTTGTTATAATTTCTGCACTCTTTATTATCCGTTTAATTAAATATATGTTTACAAAAAAAAGATATTTAATGAAACAAAACAACACTTTTATCAAATAAAAATTGATAACAGTGTTGTTTTGTTTCGTTTAGGTATGTATTTGACAAATACACACCTAAATGAATATTATTATTGCAACAAATTTATTGAAAACAATTAAACGGATTGTCTACAAAATAATATCAATTTATTAATTTTAAAGTATCAATGAAACTGATAAAATTTACCAAAAGTTTCTCGAAATGGAGTAAATTGAGGACAAGATAAAAATACAGAGTTTAAATGGGTGATAAAAAAAAACTTTTTTTTTTTTTTAACAGTCAGATTTATTTCATTTGCCAGCGAAAAATTTGAGCGATTCGAATTATTTAGACGGTGTTTCGACAAGAAATTCAAATTACCTGATGTACGTGCGAAAGCATATTTATCGTGTCGCTGACTAAATTGCAATGTGGTACTCGTGAGAGGTTAAATTCAATCAATGTGTGGAAATGTGGTTTTGGAACTGTTGCGGTTCATTATCGCAAACACGTCAAACAAGGCGCACGATAGTTGCGTGTTGCACATATAGAATGCTGTTCTTTTAGCGCAATCTTCCAACTAATATTAACGCCGGAAGTGGCGTGTTACGCTAGACAGGTCTTTTAGTGAATACACTGCGGGCATAGGGGTGTTACTAGGCCGTCTTACCAGCGATTTCTTTTGCCGGTTGACGAACAAGCGACTCGATTAATCACCGGCTTTGTACAAACCATTAATTTTAGAGGAACAAAATCAAGAAGAGGTTAATATCAAAAACTTAACCTTCCCGTCAGTTCATATTAACCGGTAGAAATAAACCGCAGTGTCAAATCTGGTTATGACACGGTATATTATTCGCAAGACAAATTCCTTAGCTCATGAATACAATAGCAATGCTTCTCTGTGGTCTATTCATTGCGCCGTTTTTAAAAATTATTATACGTCACGGGACAAGATAAAATTGTTTCAGTCCAACAAAAAAAATAATAAAAACCAATTTTTAATTAGTTGTTGAGATTAACACTTTTATGTATGCTTGGGAGCCAAATAACACTCGTTCACTTATAATTAATGAACTTATTTATCTTCCAAAAACAAAAATTATATACTTAGCAATGTATAGTATACAATATTTAAAATTTCAGTGATTTAAATGATAAAGCTATAATATATAGATCATTAAATTTTAAAATGAAAAACAAAAACATTGAGACAGACGTTTTGATTAAATCAACTAAATGAATAAATTATAAAGTTAATTTAATATAATTAAATAAAAGAAATAAAAACTTCTATCATTGTACAAAATTTTCATTTCAAACAATAAAATACTCTAATTAATAATAATAAAAAATTAAGATCATGCGATTTAACCTATTTATTTTATTTTGTTTAGATTCATGAAAATAAGATTTTAAAAAAAAGCGCAATTCCAAGTTTGATGTAAATTTTAAAGTTCAAGTGTTTTTTCTTTTATGAGTTATATTTTAAAATTAAACTCTAACTTAATACAAAATCCATGAAAATAAAGTGTACTCTTTAGATAGTTTAGGATCATTAACTTTTTGTTTCCCATCTAGAAGACAACTTAAGTTTTACAGAATAACAAATGTTGCTCAAACAAGTTGGTTTCAAATCATACATTTCATAAATATTTATTTACATAAGAAAAATATATTACTAATTCATACTTAAATTTTCATAAAAATAGATTATATCTAATAAAAAACAGAACA